AATTCACAAAAAGTACAAGTGACTCATGATATTAAATGTATGCTTACTATTACAAGGAGCCTAAATAATAAAATGGGGGAACTAGAGGCAACAGCATACACTAAACAATATGACATAATAGGCATAACTGAAACATGGTGGGATGAGACACATGACTGGGCAGGTAACTTAAATGGGTACATGTTATTTAGGAAGGATAGGAAAAACAAGAAGGGTGGTGGGGTACGTTTGTATGTCAACCATGAGTTAAAGCCAAATCTTAAAGGACCACTATAGTGCCAGGAAAACACTCGTTTTATATAGTGCCCTGAGGGTACCCCCACCCTCAGGGTCCCCCTCCCTCCGGGCTCTGGGGGGAGGAAGGGGTTAAACTTACCTTTCTCCAGCGCCGGGCGGGGAGCTCTCCTCCTTCTCTCCGCCTCCTCTCCTCCTCTTCGGCTGAATGCGCATGCGCGGCAGAAGCTGCACACGCATTTAGCCAGTCCATAGGAAAGCATTCACAATGCTTTCCTATGGACGCTGGTGTCTTCTCACTGTGGATCAACCCTAATATAAACATAGCAGTTTCTCTGAAACTGCTATGTTTATAGAAAAAAGGGTTAACCCTAGCTGGACCAGGCACCCAGACCACTTCATTAAGCTGAAGTGGTCTGGGTGCCTATAGTGGTCCTTTAAGCAAGTGGAATGTGATGAGGAAAATGTGGAAGCTTTATGGGTAGATATCTACTTGGGGCAAAAGAAGGGAAATCAACTATTGCTTGGGATATGTCATAAACCACCTAATGTTAATATTGACGAGGAGCAACAGCTGTTTGAGCAAATTGAGAAAGCTGCAAATCTGGGTAACACTTTAATTATTGGAGATTTTAATTACTCGGACATAAATTGGGACAGACGGACTAGTAGCTCAGCAAAGGGAATTAGGTTTTTGAACTTGTTAAATGACACCTTCATGTCACAACTTGTACAAGCACAAACTAGAAAGGACGCTTGTCTGCAGGACCGGCCTTAGGGGTGTGCGAGCTGTGCGGCCGCACAGGGCGCCATGGCAACAGGGGCGCCGGGCGGCCAACACAGCTCGCAGGCCGGCCGAGTTCTGTATTTAAAGTGCAAGTCAAGTGCATAATACTGCTTTGCACTTGACTTGCAAATTATGAGCAGAGAGCCGCCGCCGGGAATCCACTTCTGTATGGAGGGTGGAGGAGGAGCGTGGGGGCGTTATGCCGCGTACTTGCGTAACGTCGACGTGCTCTGTCATCAGAGGGAGCCGCGGAAGGATCCAATTCAGTGAGTGAAGGCGGCACCCGGTGCTCTTCAATCGGCGGAGACAGCTCAGTCCAGGGAGCAGCAGCCTTTACTGTGAGTGACTTTTTTTTCCTTTTTTATTAAATAGGTTTTGTTGAAGAGGTGCAGGAATTTAATTAAGGGGGGCAGGGGATTGATGAAGGGGTGGCATGGATTGCATTAATTGGCAGGGGATTTATTAAGGGGGCTGATAAAGGGTGGCAGGAAACTGAAAAGGGGGGCATGGGGCTGATTAAAGGGGGCAGGTGGTTGATAAAGGAGTGGGAGGGGATTGATGAGGAGATCAGGGGGCTGATGAAATGGGGGCAGATGGCTGATAAATAGGTGGGAGGGAATTGATGAGGGGGCAGGGGACTGATGAAGGGGTGGCCAGGGGTTGGATTATTTGGCATGGGATGTATTAAGGGGGCTGATGAAGGGGAGCAGGGGGTTGAAAAGGGGGGCATGGGACTGATTAAAGGGGGGCAGGTGGGTGATAGGGGTGGGAGGGTACTGATGAGGGGGTCAGGGGGCTGATAAAAGGGGGAGGGGATTGGTGAGGGGGTCAGGGGACTGATGAATGGGGCAGAGGGCTGTTAAAGGGGTGGGAGGGGATTGATTAGGGGGTCAGGCGGCTGATGAATAGGGGCAGAGGGCTGAGTAAAGGGTGGGAGGGAATTGATGAGAGGGGCAGGGGACTGATGAAGGGGTGGCAGGAATTGATAAAGGGGTGGGAGGGGATTGATGAAGGGTAAGGGGTGGCTAGGAGTTTGACGAAGGGATGGCCAGGGCATTGATGAAGGGGAAGGGGTGGCCAGGAGTTTGATGAAGTGGTGGCCAGGGGCTTGGTGAAGATCTGGCCAGGGATTTTGGTTAAGAGGTGCAGTGGTTTTATAGAAGGGGGTGGAGGCAACAGATTGTGAATGCTCCTAAAATAGTTTGAAGGGGTCCAAACAGAGACAGGTGAGGGGGGCAACAAGATTGTTTCGCACAGGGCGCCTGAACACCTAAGGCCGGCCCTGCTTGTCTGGACCTGGTTTTAGCAAACAACGTTGATCTTTTGACCAACATTCAAGTAGGTCAGCACTTGGGAAATAGTGATCATAATATAGTGTCCTTTGAAATAAACTAAAAAAAAAATAAAAGCACATGGGTATACTAAAACATATTGTTACCGTGTAAGCATGCAGAAGCCAAACACAGAGATATGGACACAAGTCTTCAGGAAATAAGAGGCCTTTATTCAGATTACCGATCGGGTCTCAGATGAACTCCTGTTCCAAAATTCTGAGAGAATAACACATGGGGCTTGGCACTTTTGTTAACTGCAAATCTCCTCCCATACAGTATAACCCCTCCTATATTCCTCAGACCAATCAGCACACAGGATATTCAGGATCACCTTATATTGCAGACCACATGGTTTGTTGAAGACAAAGGATTTTACTATCCACTTCCACACATGCTCAGTATACTGATGACTCATCCAACTGTTTGTAACCAGATACTAATTAGCATATGCCATGTGGAGATTTTGGCCTACTAAATTTTGACCATGCTGGAATCCCATCACAATATCATTTTAAAAAGGCCAATTTCTATAAGTTAAAGGCAGCTTTACAATATATTGACTGGCATAAACTCTTTCATGAAAAGAACACTGAGGATAAATGGAACATCTTCCAACAAATATTAGAAAGGTACATTTCTCAGTATGTACCATTGTGTAATAAATATAAAAGAAACAAATTGAAACCAATGTGGCTTAGTAGAGAAGTAAAACCAGAGTTTAAAAATAAGAAAAGGGCATTTAAAGCATTTAAACTGGACAAATCAGATGCATCCTATAAAAGATATAAGGAAGCCAATAATGCGTGCAAAAAGACGATTAGATTCGCTAAACTTCAAAATGAGAAAAAGATAGCCAAAGAGAGCAAAACCAACCCCAAAGCATTCTTTAAGTACATAAATTCTAAAAAAAAACAAAAAATTAAAGTGTAGGTACACTAAAAACTGAAACGGGGGTGTTAGTTAATGAAGACCAGGAAAAGGCAGGAATTTTAAATAACTATTTCACCTCTGTATATATTAAGGAAGAACCCATTGCAATAGATGTGCAAATGATTGCTGCTAAAAACTTGCAGAATAATTGTAATTGGTTAGCTCAAGACAAGGTGCTGCAGTAACTAAAGAAAGTTAATATAAACAAAGTTCCAGGGCGTGACGGTATTCATCCACGAATACTTGGTTTTAATCTTTCAAGATTCTTTTCTTTCAGGAAGTGTTCCAGAGAATTGGAGGAAGGCAGATGTGGTTCCTATATTCAAAAAGGGTTCAAAATCCTTGCCTGGAAATTATAGATCTGTGAGCTTAACTTCTGTGGCTGGGGAAATATTTGAAAGATTATTAAGGGATAATATTCAAAAATTCCTTGAGAAGAACATGGTTATAAGCAAAAATCACCATGGTTTTATGAAGCACAGATCATGTCAAACTAACTTGATTGCCTTCTACGAAGAAGTAAGTAGAAGTATAGATCAGGGTGTTGCCGTGGATGTGATCTATTTGGATTTTGCCAAGGCATTTGATACAGTTCCACACAATAGATTAGTGTTCAAACTCAAGGAAATCAGTCTAGATGACAGGGCTTGTTCTTGGGTAGAACACTGGCTTAAAAATAGAGCACAAAGAGGTGTCATTAATGGTAAATTTTCAAGCTGGACAGAGGTGGCAAGTGGTGTCCCTCAGGATTCTGTTATGGGACCCCTTCTATTTAACATGTTTATAAATGATCTTGAAAAAAAGCATTGAAAGTCATGTTTTAGCATTGCCCCTAGCAAATACATTTCTGTATTTGAGAGATAATTGAGTTATCCTAATTGGAGTTCAATTATCTCTCAAACACGAAGGCTCTTGGGAAATAAAAAACTTGTATTCTTGACTTGAAAACCCCATGCTAGGGGCAATACATAAAAGCCGTGTGTTACAGAAATAAAGTCAGTTGTACTCCCAGAACTGTGTGTTGTCCAGTTGCTGGGGATGAGGTGGGCTATTTACTTGGCATTTTCCTGATTCTACTCTTGGTGATCCAGGAGAGGAAAGTGCCAGGACTAGGGCTCTGCTACACACACCATTGAACCAATACACAAATACTCACACTCTTTCTACAGCCCTTGGACACAAACACATACTCTCTTCAACCCCTACATATACACATACTACATCACAAACAGAACACAAACAGATATATTTGCACACACACATGCTACGCCTATTACTGAGAGGATTTTTGCTGTATAGCTATGTAATACACTCACACCACAAATTACTATGAGGTTTTTTTTTTTAAACTTTGGAGCTCTGTGAGACACTCATAGATTATTAACATTACTGTGTTATTGTGTGGGATGAATGACTATCGAGAAACATAATCTTTGTGTTTGTATGTGGTAATTCTGTGCAAGCTGTAGTTCTAGTTAACTGCAACTTGTGTTACTCACCCATATGAGATAGATACATCATCTCATCACTCACTTTGTGGGTGTTTGTATGATTGTTTCTTATTTATGGCAATGCACTCTTAGTTCCATTTCACTGCATGATGATGCTCATTATCTGCATAGTGTTAGTGAACTTTTTCCAAAGGGTCCAAGGTCAGATAAAAACTAGGACAACTGTTGCCTCTTTGCAATTTTTATTTAAATTAATAATTAACTCCTTATTACACAACATTTAAATACTTCCAAAGAATTCTAAAAGGTGCCACATATTTTTAAATTATTAATAACCAGTATAAACAAATGAAATATACAAATATATTATTTTATTAAGCCAATAAATAATTTTTTGCATCAGATAGAGATGTCCCCTGAATGGCCTCCAGTAAGATATCTTATCAGGTTCTATGGCTGATAGCTTAGGTGTAAATAAGGCATAACCTCTGACAAGCAATCAGACGTAAATGAATCAGTCATTAACAAAATGCACTTGTTTCTCTTTCCTTTGATTGTTCTTCTTTCTTTTTTTTTTGCTGCATCATGTATTTCAGCATTATAGCAAACTTAAGTGCCAAGATTGTTCTTTTAACAGTTTTATTCATCTAAAACCCTTGATTATTGGGAGAGAACAAAGACAGCATTACTAGGTTTCGAACATGTAATACATTCTCAACACTTAAACCTGGCTGTCCATGAAACAATTTAGGGCCAAGGGCAAATTAGCAATCATGGATCTTTTCACACACTCATTTTAGGTTTCATAGCTCTTCCTCTCCATTTAAAAAAAATATTAAAACAATTTTATATTCAGTCAGTATACGTTAAACTGGCTTATACATATCTATATGGAACATTTTGCTTAAACACCAAAGCTTAATAGAGAAATTAAACAATTCTAAAAATTAGAGTGCATATTAATTGGTTCATGGCCAAATAGTAACACAAATATTTATGTACAATCCCTCGTATATGTATCACAGCCGTTACATATTTCCATATTATATTGAACTCCAATTTAAGATAAAAATGTATTGTAAAGGATTTTTTTTACTATTTAATTTATAAAATTGTGAGATTTATCAAAGTGCTGCAGGCAGTTTTGTGCCTTTTTGTGTTTTTTTTATTTTTGGGGAGAAAGTCAATAAATGTGATGATAATAGACATACAGTGTAATATATTATAATGAGCTCCAAATTGTAACGGGGGAGGAAAATGAGTTTAATACCACAAAGAGGGCAGTTATCTGCTTAAATTAGCATTCAGAATTTCTCTATATCTTGGTTACAGAAATAGGCAAACAGAACACACAAAAATGTAATAGAAACTAGACTTGAACACCGAGGAAAAGATTTAGCTTGCCCAAATCATTTTTTGCGACAGCTTAGGAAAAAGGATTTGGACAAACCAAAAGGGTGCAAAAATTGATCAGTACACTACAAAATATCTAAAAATATTTATATGTATACATACAGGACTCAAAAGTACATGCCCTGGTCTACTAGTGAGGCCAGAAAATGCATCGAAACTGCATTTTGGTTTTAATACATGTGTTGTTCATGGCATGAAATGTCAGTGTGTCTGTGCATGCTGTAATGTGTGTCTATGTGTGTGAATGTAAGCATAAATGGACTATATTTATGTATTTTGTGCAAATGTAAGGGTGTATATTTGTGTGGAGTGTCTGTGCCAGATGCAGGGGTATACATGTGTGTCATGTGCATGTAGGGAGATTTTATATATATATATATATATATATATATATAGATAGTTAATACAATGCTAAACAAAAATCTGCACACCAGTCAAGCCATAAGACTTGCTTTTCCCACAGAAATCCCAAATCAGCAGTGATGTTACAACCGCAAAGGATTCTGGGTGGGCATATGCAAATTAGTTTAACAAAGAATCACATTTTTGCCTCATTCCATTTTAAACATGGATTCCTTTAATTTGTGTTTGCAGTATACAACTGCTTGGAACACAATTTAGGATAAGATGCAAAACCAGTGAACCACTCATGGACAGCTGTTTCGTTGTTAATGCAACTCTTCAGCATGAGGTTGGTTACTGGTTTGCTTAGTAAGGCTTGGTAGTGCTTGGGAAGCAAAATATAGTTAATACAATGCTAAACAAAAATCTGCACACCAGTCAAGCCATAAGACTTGCTTTTCCCACAGAAATCCCAAATCAGCAGTGATGTTACAACCGCAAAGGATTCTGGGTGGGCATATGCAAATTAGTTTAACAAAGAATCACATTTTTGCCTCATTCCATTTTAAACATGGATTCCTTTTAATTTGTGTTTGCAATATACAACTGCTTGGAACACAATTTAGGATAAGATGCAAAACCAGTGAACCAGTGGTGTATATTGCAAACACAAATTAAAAGGAATCCATGTTTAAAATGGAATGAGGCAAAAATGTGATTCTTTGTTAAACTAATTTGCATATGCCCACCCAGAGTCCTTTGCGGTTGTAACATCACTGCTGATTTGGGATTTCTGTGGGAAAAGCAAGTCTTATGGCTTGACTGGTGTGCAGATTTTTGTTTAGCATTGTATTAACTATCCACATAATTCAGGTGAAAGGGGTTTTCAATCACAATTTTTCCCCACCATAACCTAATTAGATTTTGCTTCCCAAGCACTACCAAGCCTCAATTAGCAAACCAGTAACCAACCTCATGCTGAAGAGTTGCATTAACAACGAAACAGCTGTCCATGAGTGGTTCACTGGTTTTGCATTTTATCCTAAATTGTGTTCCAAGCAGTTGTATACTGCAAACACAAATTAAAAGGAATCCATGTTTAAAATGGAATGAGGCAAAAATGTGATTCTTTGTTAAACTAATTTGTATATGCCCACCCAGAATCCTTTGCGGTTGTAACATCACTGCTGATTTGGGATTTCTGTGGGAAAAGCAAGTCTTATGGCTTGACTGGTGTGCAGATTTTTGTTTAGCATTGTATTAACTATCCACATAATTCAGGTGGAAGGGGTTTTCAATCACAATTTTTCCCCACCATAACCGATATATAGATAGATAGATAGATAGATAGATAGATAGATAGATAGATAATGCAATGTTAAACACCAATACACACACCAGGCAAGCCATAGGACTTGCTCTTACCACAGAAATTTCACTTTAACAGTGCTCTCACTGCTGCAAGGGATTCTGGGTGGGTGTATGCAAATGAGCTTGACAAAGAACCAGATTTCTGCCTACCCAGAATCCCTTGCAGTAGTGAGAGCACTGTTAAAGTGACATTTATGTGGTAAAAGCAAGTCTTATGGCTTGCCTGGTGTGTGTATTTGTGTTTAACATTGCATTAACTATCCACTTATTTCAGGTGGAATGGGTTTTCATACACACTTTTTCCCCACCACAACTTGTTTGTTATGTGTGTGTATACACATTATATATATATATATATATATATATATATATATATATATATACACACACACACACACACGTATATGTATACATATATATCTCACTCTTACACCTTTACCAGCAGAAGGTAGGTTTTATTTGTCCAAAATAAATTAGTCAATGTTTTAGTTTTAACAGCAAAATGTTTTTGGTGCAAAAACACCAAGTTTTGCTGGTGAAGGTCTGAAGTGCTATCTAGATACTGGATTTTCATATATATGTGTGATTGTAAAGGTTCATTTCTGTGGCGTGGCTCTATGCAGGGGTGTTTATATATCCTATCCTCCTTCCATGCCCCCTTTCTATTTGCCTCTTCCTCTGTCCATCCATGTTGTGAAGAAACTAGGGGGGTTGTGTGTGCATGTGCCCCAGGCATCACCTGGAGGGGATGCATATACTCACCGGCTCTGATTGAACCCCCCTCCTCAAATTGGCAGGGATTTCAAAAGACCTTCCTGCCGGCTTCTTGGATATTAACTCCATGGTGGTTCAAAGTTTTGGACCTCTATGAGGGAGTCAGAACGCAGGTGCTGGGTTTCACAGCCTGTGTTCTTTCACAGCCTGTCATCACAGAGCGCTGTACCAGGAGAATAGCGGCTGCACCAGCATCTCATTGTACTACCAGGGAGCCCACCAGGCCACCAGTGGCCACATTGGATGAATTATGCCATCCCTTCTTACAACTAAATGTGGGGATCATGTGCTTAGCACAGCCTCCCCACATACTGTCAATCTCACCTTGTCACACTCACACCTGTCCCACAGTCACTCACCATCCCCAACTCTCACACTCACAGTCACTCACCAACCTTATCTATGCCACACACACATTGCCCTCACCCCATCACACTCAGATCCTACATCTGACATATTCACCCCCCCCGCCCCCCAATCTTGTCACTTTGTGTCACGATTACTATATAACCCAACACGCAGAGCTATTTAATACACAATGAACAAGGATAACGCATACCGGGCCTTAGAATAGCCGGACTGAACGTAAATAAAGAATGGTCAAAATACTCGTTGAGGTCAGGGACACAGAAAGAGACACAACGAGGAAACAAGCCAAAAGTAATGGATACCAGAAATATGGGAAAGTCAAAATACAAGCCAAAGTCAAATACCAAAAAGAACTAGAATAGGAACGCACTCTCTGTTAACCAACTAGTGAAAACCACAACAGGGCACTGACCAAATGCTATTTTGAGTTTAAATAACCCTCCTAAGGCTATGATTGGTTGTACATAGCCTTTAAACCCAAAACACGTGTGCTCGTCGTTTGTGACGTCACACGCACATCGGCGCCATCTTTGTTGAGGACAGAGGCGAAGCTATATTGTTTAGTGGGACCACAGCGGCCAGCGTTCATTAGAATACCGCACCGGTTGGGAATCGTTCCACGCCGGTGCTGAATGGCAAGCTGACTTGCTTTAGGTAAGCTTTTTATTATTTTAACAGCGTAACAGCAGCTATCGGATGCGGCCACGCTGTATGGAGGCGAGGGGGACGTGACACCCTGCCACAGTCACTCACCTCAGCCTGTCACACAACCTGTCAAATTCACCCACCACTGATCTCTCATTTTCACCCCACTAACCCTCTGCCTGTCACACCTACCCTCAAACCCGGTCACACGCAAAACTGTCACCCTCCATATCACCTTATCATGGTCACCCCCAGAAAATAGTGATCATCATAGACAATTACCTCTCACATATGAAACACACCACAACACACAAAGCCCACTAGTAACCTCCCTTGCACACAACACAATCTATTTAAACGCCACTGTGACAGCCAGGAGAAATGGTGGGCAGGTGCTTGCAGGAATCTCACTGATCCCAGCGTACACTGGCTGCCTGCACTGGAAAGGAAAAATAAGGGGAGCTCAACTGAGCCTCTGCCCCGGAAAAAAAAAAATGTCTAGTATCGCCACTGCATCCATGTTCCTTTCTGCATTCCATCCATGCCAGTATAAAATTCACACAAAATGTTAGTAACATCTTGTCAGCAGTTATAGTATTTTCTCTTTGCATTTTTGAATAGCTGTATTAGCTGAGCAGAATGTGCAGGCAAAAGGCAAAGTTCATCAACAAAAAAAAAAACCTTCCAGTACCAGGACTCTTTATTTTTTTTCCAGTATCTGCCCCATACTGCAACTCCTTCTAGCTTTTACTTTCAATATCCTATGAGGTCCGAGGAAAACACGAGGGAGCCGCAGGAAGCTGGATAGTTCTAAACACAGCTCCCTCGTGGATCACTCTGGTAGTGACATTACTCAGTTCCTAGTAGATTGAGAGCTACTGGGAGTTGTGTTTAGCACAAGACCAAGCGTAGCTCATTGCAGCTGCACTCTGTTTAATTGTGCCGGCACTATAATATACAACATTTTTCTACATTGAATATTAGTCATTAGGTGCATACCACATTTAGTGTGTGCAGTCAAACAAGTTAAGGTTAGGTGCACCATATATTGGGTTTTTTATATTATTATTTTGAAATATTACCTGTATGAACAATAAGTTAACATAGGTTAAAATTGGCACAGTGTTATTGTAGGCCTGCAGAAGACAGGTAAATAGTATTATTTGGTAACTAAAGGAGAGTTAGAGAGCAACCCTCCAAACCACCTAATTATTTTCACGGTTCCACCATTCCTAGGATTTAGAAAATGTATTTCTTCTTTTTTTTTCTACAATCTTTTCCTTCAATTATCCTGATACTTTGTACCCTGGATCTGGCCTAGCATATGTCTGATGACATGATATGCACTACAGCTGTTAACTACAATTACCAATCTGCAGGTTTTATTTATTTAACCCTGATTATCTTAATGGCCAGTAATTACAACATGCTGGACCTTTTTACATTCCTATTCTTCAAGACCTAGAAGTACATGGGACCTAGATCTCACTCAATAACCAGCTTGCCCATAACAATTTAATCTTCACACCAGCTAGCTGACCACTCATTTACAATCAATAGTGTACTCACAAACACTGATCAGTCCACTGCACATGATAACCAACATAATACACGTATTTACGTTAGTAATATTGTTTGCTAATTAAACAACATCAGGAGCAAGCAGTATCCTGTAATGGTATATTCAGCTTTGATACCAGTCAATTCATCACATTTTCCTGTTCTCTTGGACTAATATTGGTAATTGAAGCAAAGGATGAATACCAATTATCCAGACAGAGTTATCTAGTCTTCCTTTGAACCTAATAGCTTTAGGTGAGTGAGTTCCATAAGTCATTGTTGTAACTAAATAGTTCTCTTTCAATTTCTGTTGCACACTGATTTGCTAAATTTATCTTACATGTAAGTATACAGTGGCCTGAAAGACCAATTTCTATCAGTCAAAAGGTAAACAATGGAAGGATGTTCTTCAGCAGCACTGAAGTCTAAATAAGGGATCCCCACATTTGTCTGGAAAAAAACAATCATTGACAACCTAGTAGAATTATTCAAGCACCCACCCCAAATGTTACCAATGTCAATCCTTTCTTGCAATTTGATGCAATTTAAAATGCATCACTCTGTAATGCTTCCATTGAAGATATTGACCATTTCAACATATCATCTGCTTTATTGTCCATCTTCATCTTTTTTTCAAAGAGAACAAATGCTCACACCACTCTCCATGTAGGTGTTCTATGCTCTCAAATGTCTAATGCGTTACTCTTCACAAAAGTTGCTGAACAGCCATAATGAGTCTTTGTTCAAAGACTAGATTTTCTTCACATGTGAGAGACACGCCATGTCATGTGTCTCCAGTTCTGAGGGAGCCCCACTATGTTCAAGACTTTTCTTTTGCCATCACCACAACTGCTATGAGCGGTTATCTCTTCCTCTTCCAAGATACAGAGTTCCAAGGCAGCACAGAAGAGAAACTGGAGGCACTGCGTCGGAAGTGAGAAAATTTCACATTGTATGCTACAACATCACTGTAAAAGTGAAAGCAGATACATTATTAAACTGAGTATTGTGACTGTTCTCTTCTAATATGGTAATTCCTATGGTAATAGCACAGTTTCTGATTCTGAACATAAACCTGATCGTGTCTTGTGTATTTAACAAAGTGACAAACTTCTTCTTAAGCTAAGCTGCTAAATATATTAATTCTCTTATTTGTTTATATCTCTTATCTCTGCAGTTTTTATAATGGCAATTTGAGCAGCTCTGCCATTTCCCTGTCTGTAAAGGAAGTAGGTGAGAAAAGGTAAAAGTTAAACCTGAGGTGAGTCCACTAGCCTAATCAACACTTAATGGCTTACATAATAATTGTTAGAGTCTATACTGAAATTTAATTAGGTTATAGCGAAATGTGTTAATTTTGTTAACAAAAGTATAATGACATTTCAAGGGCAACATCACTAGATACCCAGGTTCTAAACAAATATATTGGTAATTGAGGGGAATCTACATGTCCAATTCCAGTACTTTGGGAGCAGCTACTTAGTTTCTGATGGGCATCTTACATGGCGAAAAAAAATTTACCGTAGAATATGCAAGAGTTTGGCTTGAGATTTCTCCTCTTTTCGCAAAAGATTTTCTGGAAGTTCCTCTTCTACTGTTCCTAGTTTATTGGCAACAACGGACCTAAAGAAGACACCAATTGTTTAATAATACTTACTGAAGCCGTAGCCTGGATAAGTACAGGAAGAAGGCAAACAGAAGTAAAGGTATGAGCTGTAACGTTAATGGATCACTTGTTCAGTATGTCCTTCAAAGATACAGAGGTCATAGATCTTTATGTTGTCAGCCGACAAAAACATTTCCCATAATCATATCTTGTCATGTTGTGTTTAATGAGTTAAATCTGTGGAATTTGTTATGTTTCTTTTCTCTCTTAATTGTTTTATTATGTCTGTTTTACTAGGGCAATAACTTGGCTGGCATTTTGGGCCTAGTTGTCTGACTATACCTCAGCAGTTGGCTGCATGAAATAAAAGTGATTACTAATCTTGTGTGAAAGAGAGTGAACTGCATTTATTGGCCATTAGAGGTTTGTTTGGAATGAAATAAATCCTTGTAAATGAAAAACAAGAACTGTATCATTTTTTAAATTTATTTTTTATGAAAAAGGACTAGCAAACAAACTCAGAGCACAACAGTCCATGTCCTCTATTCCCTGAAACGCTGTACCCTAGCTATTTTGTAATGTGCAGTGCGCATTTAGCCTGCAACTACCAAACCCCTCTCCGCTTTCATCTACTCATCCTCTCATTCGTTAATTGTTCTCAAGAAAAACATCCTTTTTATGATTCAAACATCAGCTTCTACATCCACTCCTCTGTTTTTATATAAACCTTCCTTTTCTACTTCAAATTCTAAATTTAAAGATGGTCTTAGAAAGTATTAAACTTTTGCAAATGGCAAATTTTAAACTCATGGCCAAGGTTTTCTGCTACTTTTTGTCCCAGGATATCTGGAATGTCTAATACTAATATGATACTACTTTAAAAATATCAATGGAATCAGTGGATGTAAAATAAAGATTATTTATACTGTCACTAATTAAATACTTTGGACAATGCCCCCATCTTTAACTCTATAGAGTAATTGTAGAGAGATATAAAACTTGCAAATTCATAGTTAGTAAAAAGAAAATAAGGTAACACTGGATCTGCGCAAAGAGACAGTTATATGCTCCTAATAAAAGAAAATGTAAAACACGTTTACTGACCTTTATAAATTTAGACAACTCTCTAAGATTCACTCCCTAGTATATCTTTAACCATGCAGCATTTGGTGTGTGATAAGACTGGTGTTGAAAGAGTTTTAAAGAATCCCACTACTGAATTCTTCTGTGTTTATGAACATGAAGACCTGCCCTCATATTACAAATGAAGCACTGGCTATTTAGATTCTGCATAATTGAAAGAACACTTTGTAGTAGGAGTTGAAACAACAGGAGTTGAAACTATAAGAGTTTAAACCAAGAGGGTAAATATTGTTTTGATCACTTGTGTTTTTGGTAACTGGGGATGAGTGCTGGCAAGATTGAGAGATTTACTCGGTGCACATCCTGCTGCATGTATGCATGCCTGGATGAATCTGTCCAGGGTCTATACCTCTGAGTTTTGTGTGAGCGAGTGGCTTTCAGGAAACTCAGATTGGAGATCTGGAGAGGCAAATTACATCACTTAGGGAGACTGACGATCCTAAAACGAGTCTTCTGCTCACTGAGCAGAGTTTAGTGGGTGCAGGTAGTGGAGGGGGAGGAGATGAAACAGTTGGTGAGCAGGCATATAGCTGGGTAACAGTGGTGTGAGGAAGCGGGGGGGATGGAAGAGGAAAGGTTTAGCTAGTCCTGATCTTGTGCAGCTTAACTTTTTTTTCTCATTTGAGTGAAGATGTTGGGAGCATCAGCTCACAAGTAGCTGTACTGCAGGAAGCTGTTCCTTCTAACAGCCCCTCTAGTACGGGTGGGGTTGAGAGGGTAAGGTAGGCTAGGCAGGTTGTGGTGGTAGGGGACTCTATTATTAAGAGAGTAGATAGGGTAATCTGCCACTCTGATCGTCTCAACCGGACAGTTTGCTGTCTTCCGGGTGCTCGGATCCGGCATGTTGCCGACAGAGTGGGTCATCCCCAGCCCCTCCCAATATCTCGCTATCTAAAATCTTATGAAATAATAATTTAATCGTTTGGTCCAGCTGTCATGGTCCATATTAAAGGGACAGTATAGTCATCTGAACAACTTTAATGAAGCAGTTTTGGTGTATAGAACATGCCCCTGCAGCCTCACTGCTCAATCCTCTGCCATTTAGGAGTTAAATCCCTTTGTTTATGAACCCTAGTCACACCTTCCTGCATGTGACTTGCACAGCCTTCCATAAACACTTCCTGTAAAGAGAGCCCTATTTAGGCTTTCTTTATTGCAAGTTCTGTTTAATTAAGATTTTCTTATCCCCTGCTATGTTAATAGCTTGCTAGACCCTGCAAGAGCCTCCTGTATGTGATTAAAGTTCAATTTAGAGATTGAGATACAATTATTTAAGGTAAATTACATCTGTTTGAAAGTGAAACCAGTTATTTTTTTTTTTATGCATGCTCTGTCAATCATAGCCAGGGGAGTTGTGGCTAGGGCTGCATAAACAGAAACAAAGTGATTTAACTCCTAAATGACAGTGCATTGAGCAGTGAAATTGCAGGGGAATGATCTATACACTAAAACTGCTTTATTTAGCTAAAGTAATTTAGGTGACTATAGTGTTCCTTTAATACCAATGACAAAGTCAGAGGAAAATGGAAGGTCCCAAAGAATAAGTTCCGGGAACTAGGAAGTAAGCTAAAGAAAAGGACCTCCAAGGTAATATTTTCAGAAATATTACCTGTGCCGCGCGCTACAGCAGAAAGGCAATGGGAGATTAGAGAGGTCAATGCGTAGCTGAAGTCTTGGTGCAGGAAAGAGGGGTTTGGGTTTTTTTTAGAGCATTGGGACGATTTTGCGCTTGGGTACAACCTGTATAGTCGTGATGGATTGCACCTAAATGGAAGAGGCTCTGCTGTGCTGGGGGATAGGATGGCTAGAAGGTTGGAGGAGATTTTAAACTAGTAGTTGGGGAGAGGGTCAAAGCAATCTAGAAAATGGAGATAGAATAGAAAGGAGATGGGCTTTAGCTCAGTATAAGGTGGCTTGAGATGGGGGGAGGGGAAAGCTCAGAACAGAGGTGGTATGTAATATTGATGAAAATTCACAAAAACTACCAAGACTCATGATAATATTAAATGTATGCTTACTAATGCAAGGATCCTATATAATAAAATGGGGGAACTAGAGGCAATAGCATACACTAAACAATATGATATAATAGGCATAACAGAAACATGGTTGGTTGAGACACATGACTGGGCAGTTAAAGGACCACTGTAGGCACCCAGACCACTTCAGCTTAATGAAGTGGTCTGGGTGCCAGGTCCAGCTAGGGTTAACCCATTTTTTCATAAACATAGCAGTTTCAGAGAAACTGCTATGTTTATGAATGGGTTAAGCCTTCCCCTATTTCCTCTAGCGGCTGTCTCATTGACAGCCGCTAGAGGCGCTTGCGTGCTTCTCACTGTGATTTTCAGTGAGAGCACGCCAGCGTCCATAGGAAAGCATTATGAATGCTTTCCTATGTGACCGGCTGAATGCGCGCGCAGCTCTTGCCGCGCGTGCGCATTCAGCCGACGGGGAGGAGAAGAGGAGGATCGGAGGAGGAGAGCTCCCCGCCCAGCGTTGGAAAAAGGTAAGATTTAACCCCTTTCCCCTTTCCAGAGCCGGGCGGGAGGGGGACCCTGAGGGTGGGGGCACCCTCAGGGCACTATAGTGCCAGGAAAACGAGTATGTTTTCCTGGCACGCTAGTGGTCCTTTAACTTAAATAGGTACACGTTATTTAGTAGGAAATACAAGAAGGGTGGTGGGGTATGTTTGTATGTCAACCATGAGTTAAATTCAAATCTTAGGCATGTGGAGTGTGACGAGGAAAATGTGGAAGTTTTATGGGTAAATATCTACTTGGGGCAAACGAAGGGAAATCATTTAATTGGTTGGGATATGTTATAAACCACCTAATGTAAATATTAATGAGGAAGAACAGCTGTTTGAGCAAATTGGGAAAGCTGCAAATCGGGGTAACATGTTAATTATTGGAGATTTTAACTACCCGGACATAAATTGGGATAGAGTGACTAGTACTTCAGCAAGGGGAATCAGGTTTTTTAATGTGTTAAATGACACCTTCATGTCACAACTTGTACAAGCACCAACTAGAAAGGACGCTTGTCTGGACCTGGTTTTAACCCCTTAAGACCGCAGCCAAATGTACAAGTTGTGATCAAAACGTAAACAAAACCTGGCATTTGCGCTGTATGTCTGTCCAACCGTAATTCACCTCATATTAAATGCACCCACACTTATTATATATCATTTTATTCAGGGAAAACAGGGCCTTCGTTTAACATCAAGAATTTAGGTATGGAACATAATTTAATATGAAAAAAAATATTAGAAAATGGGAGAAAATAAGAATTTTTTAAAAACATTTAGTTCTATGTGACATTTTAACTGTGAATGTCAAAATACTGTTTGCTTTTACTGCAGTAACATACACATATTTGTATTCAGTGATGTCTCAAGTGTAAAACAGTACCCCCTATGTACAGGTTTTATGGTGTTTTGGGAAGTTACAGGGTCAAATATAGCGTGTTACATATTTCAGTTTTTTCACATTGAAATTCGCCAGATTGGTTACGTTGCCTTTGAGACCATATTGTAGCCGAGGAATAAGAATTACTCCCATGATGGCATACCATTTGCAAAAGTAGACAACCCAAGGTATTGCAAATGGAGTATGTTCAGTCTTTTTTAGTAGCCACTTGGTCACAAACACTGGCCAAAGTTAGTGTTAATATTTGAAAAGGCAAAAAACTAATTTGAATGCAAATTTTGGCCAGTGTTTGTGACTAAGTGGCTACTAAAAAAGACTGAACATACCCCATTTGCAATACCCTGGGTTGTCTACTATTGCAAATGGTATGCCATCATGGGGGTAATTTTCATTCTTGGGCTACCGTACGGTCTCAAAGGCAGCCTGGCGAATTTTAATGTGAAAATGTGTATGAAAAATGCAAAAAATGTCACTGACGATATCGTCGTTGTAATACATTTTACTGTTTTGAAACACTAATATTTGTGTTCAGCGAAGTCTTCCGAGTAAAACAGTACCCCCCATGTACAGTTTTTATGGTGTCTTGGAAAGTTACAGGGCTAAATATAGTGCTAGAAAATTTAATTCCCTTAACTTTCAGCCTGGGTTGTCAGTCAGGTCCTGCAAATTGTAATTAATAAAATGACCTAATTATGTAAAATTATTACATAAATATATACGTAGAATTATTATTATTATTATGATATATATATATATATGTATATATATATATGTGTATATATATATATGTATATATTTTTTTATTATTTTTATTTATATATAGGTATATATATAGTGATATATACGTATATACTTATGTGTATATATTATTTCGTTCTACATGTATTTTGATATCAATATATATAAATTTTAAAATACAGTTAGAACGAAATTACGCATGCATATATATTTTTTATCTATTTATTTTTGATTATTTTTTTTATTTTATTTTTTAACGTATTTATATATTTATTTATTTTTTATTATATATAAATATATATAATGAAAATGATATATTTAATCAATATCATTGTACGTGTATTTTGATATTAATAGATATATATAAATATGTATATATTAATATTAAAATACACTTAGACAGTGTATGTGTGTATATGTGTATGTGTGTATATGTGTATATATATATACTTAGATCATATATATACTAAATATATATATGATCTAAGTATATATTATTTAATTTTACACTGTTTTAAGATCTTTTAATTTTATTTCCAGGCAGCAGGGGGAGTACCTGTCAGGCTGTCCCCCTGCTGGCAATGCCTTGGACAGCTATGCCGTCCATGTGATCGCGGGGTCCTTGCAAGGACCTCGCGATCACATGGCCCAGGGGGGCCAAAGAGGACGGAGGGGGACTCCCTGGGCTCCCAGGTAAGTCCCCATACCGCGATTGCCGGCGTGGAATTGCCGGCGTGGAATTGCCGGCGACCGGGTAAGTACAAAAGATCGCAGGGCGTTCTATGCCGCCCTGCGGCGTTTAGAGCCATCTAAATAAGGACGGCATAGAACGCCCTGTAGTCTTAAGGGGTTAACAAACAACGTTGATCTTTTGACAAACATTCAAGTAGGTGAGCACTTGGGAAATAGTGATCATAATATAGTGTCCTTTGAAATAAACTAAAAAAAAATAAAAGCACCTGGGGTATTCTAAAACATCTAATTTTAAAAAGGCCAATTTCTATAATTTAAGGGCAGCTTTACAATATACTGACTGGCATAAAATCTTTCGTGAAAAGAACACTGAGCATAAATGGAACATCTTCCAACAAATATTAGAAAGGTACATTTCTCAGTATGTGCCATTGGGTAATAAATATAAAAGAAACAAATTGAAAATGTGGCTTAGTAGAGAAGTAAAACCAGAGATCAAAAATAAGAAAAGGGCCTTCAAAGCATTTAAATCGGACAAATCAGAGGCATCCTATATAATATATAAGAAAGCCAATAATGCTTGCATAAAGGCAATTAAAATGGCTAAACTAGAAAATGAGAAATTGATAGCCAAAGAATGCAAAACCAACCCCCAAACATTTTTCAAGTACATCAATTCTAAAAAAAAAAAAAGGAAAGTGTAGGTACAGTGGAAACAGAGATGGGTCTGTTAGCTAATGATGACCAAGAAAAGGTAGAAATTTTAAATAACTGTATTAATGAGGATCCTATGGCAAGAGATATGCAAATGATTGCTGCAAAAAACTTGCAGATAACTTGTGATTGGATGACTCGAGACAAGGTTAAAGAAAATTGATGTAAAATTCATGTAAATAAAGCTCCGGGGCCTGACCGTATTCACCCACCAATACTTAAGGAGCTAAGTAGGGAAATAAGTGAACCTCTGTATTTAATTTTTCAAGATTCTTTTGTTTCAGGTATTGTACTGGAGGATTGGAGGAAGGCAGATGTCGTTACAATATTTAAAAAGGGTTAAAAATCATTGCCTGAAAATTATAGACCTGTGAGCTTAACTTCTGTGACTGGGAAAATAGTTGAAGGGCTATTAAGGGATAATATTCAGGAATTAATTGGGAAGAACTTTGTTATTAGCAATAATCAACATGGTCTTATGAAACATAGTTCATGTCAAACTAACCTAATTGCATTCTACTAAGAATGAAATAGAAGTATAGATCAGGGTGTTGCAGTTAATGTGATCTACTTGGATTTTGCCAAGGCATTTGATACGGTTCCCCACAATAGGTTAGTCTTCAAACGAAAAGAAATAGGTCTAGATGAATATTCTTGTTCTTGGGTAGAACATTGGCTTAAGGACTATTAAGTAGTCTATTAACTATTTAATTTAGCATATAGAATTAATACATTTAGTTGAAGACTAAAATATTACATGTCATGGCACCGTGTTTATAGAATATGACTAGTTAAGACCTTAATGTATTTTTTCGTAAGGGATGTTACTGGTACGATTTAAAATATTGAATAAATACCCATGACTTTGAACTTCTTTTTAAAGAGTTCTAAAAATGTTGCAAAAAGAATAGTGAGAAAACTTCTAAACATGGAGCAAACACATTGGAATCCAGTGGAATTACTAGAACATTCTATTATTTTACATGGTGATTGATCATTTTGTAGAACTTTGTTATAAATCTTCCTATTGTTTGCAGTTTGCTAGGCTTAATCAGGTTGGTGTCAGTCTTTATCTTTTCTGAGGCTCATGGACCATTGCGCATTGGAGGTCAATTATATACATGTGATGCCCTTTTCATTTTGAAACTCAGTTAAGAAATTATGGGCACGTTCCATAAAGATAATCCTTGTAAGATTTGACATTTTATCTAGTAGAAATTTTTTTCCAATTTCTTTAACAACACGAACAGTTATTTGTTTACCGGGGTTCAAGATGACAGAAGATATCACAGTTCCTGTCTCCTACATCCTTACAATGACACCTTGGCAGAGTTCTTTTTCTGCGCCTTGGTGGGCTTCCTAAACCATAAGGAAGAGTTTGCCTGCAAAGAAAGATATATGATGAATTGAGATCAATAGCTTTAGGTCAAGTTTTAATTAATTTATTGTTACTATTTTAATTATCTGAGGCACTTTACATAGGTTATCAATCACATAATCAGTTATCAAGTTGTAAAATATTAGGTCATGGAACCGGTTTAAAAAATATATAGAAAAATTATTTTACTGTACCTACCCTCCAGTGTTCACCCAAATAATATCCAGGTGGCAAAAGTATATACACTCCTTGTCCAACCAGTTTCTACAGGAACATCTCTTAGTCCGCGTGTGCACGTTTGGTGATACCAAAGAAGGTGGATCTGGGAAGGAGAGGACCTGCGTCACTAGGAGAGTAAACATGCCTGAATTATCATTATGATACTTGTTTAGTAATTGAGCATTATTCTATATTGTATACTGTTAAGTGAGGAGGCCCCTAATCTCATAACAGCAGCAGGACATACATCGCCTGGCCTGTCTGAGACTAGTGAAAGTTAAGATCCTGGGCAGGAGATGATAATTGCAGCAGTTGCCGATTTTAATCCCTCCTCTGATAAGATGCTGAAGGTGAGAAATGTGTCAAGGACGCAGAAGCAAAATTCTCTCTCTCCTTAATTTTGCCCAGCACATCATATATGGAAGAAGGAATGAATTAATAACAGTAGGTGCAAATATTACCTCCTGCCTGGGAGTGTAATTCCCACCAATCTCAAACAGAACCAAATGTTATTATACTGTCTACAGACCACCTCAACCCTGTTACAAGCCTTCAACTGTTCATTCTCACACTATATATTACACAACCCCTGCCCTACCTGGTGGAATTTAAAGTACAGTCATATACGTTATGCAATTAACTGCTCACTCTACCTCTGCCTCCCCTCTCCCCCCCCCCCACACCGTGTGTATACAGAACAGCCAATTTGACTACAACTAAAACCAATTATACCAGCTACAAAGTAAACATACTTTTATGAAGATATGGCCCTTCAGCAGAACCTTTCCCAATGAGTAGTTTCTATTTCTTAAAGGTTCATCTTAACACCCTTGAACAGGGTTTGCTGATCTTGTCACCATGTTGCTATATGCATAGATGGGTAGAAGTGTTATTTTTAACAGAACCTTTAATGTGCATTACTAGTGTACTAATAAGGCACCTTCCACAATTTCTAGTTATAGAAACATAGAATGTGACGGCAGATAAGAACCATTCGGCCCATCTAGTCTGCCCAATTTTCTAAATACTTTCATTAGTCCCTGGCATTATCTTATAGTTAGGATAGCCTTATGTCTATCCCACGCATACTTAAACTCCATTACTGTGTTAACCTCTACCATTTAAGCTGGACGGCTATTCCATGCATCAGCTACCCTCACAATAAAGTAAAACTTCCTGATATTATTTTTAAACCTTTGCCCCTCTAATTTAAGACTATGTCCCCTTGTTGTGGTAGTTTTTCCTTCTTTTAAATATAGTCTCCTCCTTTACTGTGTTGATTCCCATTATGTATTTAAATGTTTCTGTGATATCCCCCCGGTTTCATCTTTCCTCCAATCTATACTATCTGCATTCTCTCAAATTATATTATATTATATAAAATATATTTGTCAAAACAAATATGAAGAAAAAATAAAATGTCTATCAAACACTGGGCTTATATTAAAAACGAACGGATCTCCATTATGTATATAGTGCACATAGGTTCAAAACACGTAAAGTGCTTAGAAGCAGCAGCTAAACACTGTGTTCTTCTAAATTAACTTTTTCAGCATTATAATGTTTTATGAAATGCATTATTGTACCGCAATAACACTGTATACGGCTATACCCAGAGTCTAACAAATAAAGTGTTCCATTTTCTAGTTATTGCATTCAAAACATTTTCATTTTGGTTTTAACTAACCCAGTTTAGAGTCCAATAGTGATGTTATAATATACATATATACTATGCAACATACCTTTATATATTTACTTTTAGCTTACTTTATGTCTCTATATTGCATTTACTAATTGAATTCCACATATATTAGATTTGCACAGCAAAATATCCCCAACCATAATCTTTATTTTAGCAAGTAAGCCAAATAGCAGAAATTTCCCCTTAAATAACTATGTTGTAATTCAAAAGAATTACAAAAAAAATCCCCCAACATTAGACATGGACACAAGGAAAATGAACAAAAACTTAACACCTTTTGTCACCATGTTTTATAATGACAAAAATAATTTTTCATATTTTACCATGCATTTTATTTCATTTTAATATATTATTGTAGGTTAGATAGGCTAAGTGCTAGTCATTATATAATAACCTATATTTATGTATAATTATCTGATTGTGTTGTGAAAATGTACTAGCAAACGAAGTAAGCCATAGTTTAGTCCATAATATGTTATATTGTACTAAAGACAATCTTGCCACATCAATCTACACTGGAATCTTCTGTACAACCATAATGTTCTGATATAAATAGCAGAGTGCCAGGAAAATGACTTCCTGATAGATAGTTATTTGATTTCAGCACTGACACATCCGCTTTCAAGTCTACTTCTGTACAGGAGACCCGCCACAACTATCCCAAATATGCACAATGTTGCAGGTAACTTGTTCTCTGGTATGCAAAACAACCAATTACAATACAGTAATAGAGGTGATACAATACACAGAGCAACTCTCACAGATTCCATTCTTCTTAACCGCTATATTAATTTACTCCCTTTTTTACATGAATAAGTGAACCAAATCATGATTTATTCTCTATTTATAAGTGCTATTAAATGCAGAAATATTTTTTTTAAGCAGTAATCATGACTTCTCTTGGTCAATAAATGAACACACAGACCTCACTTTAAGGCAGACTTAGTTCAGGAACACTAAATCTACAGGCTTGGGAGCATTCATCAGTTAATAAAGATTAGTTAGAAATTACATACATACAGAGATTTATCAGAGTGTGATAATATTAATGAAGTTCAGTGTTGTAGTAGTGGGGCAATCACCGTGGAAACTAAAGTCAGTGGCATAAAAAATCACTGCATTTATATCACGGAAATTTTATAATTAACCCCTACAGAGTCCTGAAAATCATATAGAACAGGTTGTGATGATGAATGGTAGTCCCCGAATGTTCATATATGACATTTAGCACATATATTGTTAATTTGATTTATTCACTAAGGCAAGAAATATATAAATCTCGGATCTAACCCTGAGTCTAACGATTATTAATCAATAATTGGCGCCAGATTTTATACATCCTACACTCTACTAGTGTAGTCTACACTTGCGCTATGCTAGCCAATTGGAAGGTCATAAACACATTAAAACCATAGCTCAAGTGGAGTGCAAGCTGTGTCTTTCCTGGGTGCTTACATTTTCCATTCTCTGACAATTGAATGTTCTACTCATTTAGGATTAATAAGACTCTTTAGAGTGGTTTTAAATTGGATCTTCCATGTCAGCAAAGAACATAAATGGACCAGATAGATCGTCATTGGTCCAACTAATGTGAGAAACTGAAATTTGTCACAACAATTTGCTCATTCCAAATCTGTCAACTTTCAAGCAATCACATACCTTTGACTGCACTTTATACAGAATTTGATATTATTAGGTGTCTTTTTGCAAGTACGACTTACTCTTTCTAAATGCATTATATTTGGATGTCTGAAATTAGTTTTTATTTTTCTACCTTTTCATTCAGGATTCCCACAAACAATAGTCTTGTATTGCACTGTTGTACAGTATAAGAATTTATGAATATATACACACCTCACCTTTTATCACACTACCTGGAAGTGAGTACTATGTATCCCACCAATTCTACAATACTATAGATATATTCTGCATATAATAGATAAGGTATTCAATAACCAGCAGGCTACAAATCAAAAGACTCACCTACTGCAGCAAGGTATAGTAAAAGGCATTTCACCAACATCGTGTCTGTTAAACAGGTGCTGTGTGTCATAAAAGTAGTCTATTTTGGTGAATTTATACTCCCCGGCACTCCACGCCTCTCTGTTTGACACAGGTGAGTTAACTAGGCGTTGGACTGTCCCCTCCTACTGACTCCCACTGATAATATCACCCATCCCCTTTTTTTCAGTAAGAAAAAAATTTATATTCTGAAAGGTGAAAAAAGAGGTGGAGTGTTAGTAAGAGGCAGGTTGGTTTTAACCCATGCAGTGGAAACAGGAGAGGGCTGAGAAAGAAATCTGAGGAAAATACTGACTGAAAGAGTGAACTCTTCGTTTTACATAAAGGTGGCATCAGGTGATGTAATGCTGGTTATCAATACACAGGTAAAGTAAGGTGGAACTGTAAAATGCCACCAGCCCTATTACACTAGATCAGACATCCGGAAAGGTTGATGTAAGTTAACCGTTTAAGGACGAAGGCAATTATACACTTTGTGATCAAAACAAAATGTAAACAAAACCTGGAATTTCAGCTATATATCTGTTCAAACATAATTCAACTCTGTCACATTTAGTGCACCCATACTTATTATATATCATTTTGTTCAGGAGAAACAGGGCTTTTATTTCATTCCAAATATTTATAAATGCAACATAATGTAATATGAATACAATCTTAAAAAGGGCAAGAAATTAAGAAAATGTGTTGTTTCAGTTTTGCGTGGCATTTTAACTGTAAACATCATAAAAATGTTTGCTTTTACTGTAATAAAAAACACATATTTCTGTTCAGCCATGTCTCACAAGTACAACAGTACCCGCCATGTACAGGTTTTATGGGGTTTGGGAAAGTTACATGGTCAAATATACAGTTTTCCCTTTTCAGTTTTTACACAGTGAAATTTGCCAGCTTGGTTAGACTGCATTTGAGAACATATGGCAGACCAGGAATGAGAATTACACCCATCATGGCATGCAAATTAAAAAATAGACAATCCAGGGTATTCAAAATGGGGTATGTCCAATCTTTTGTAGCAGCCACTTAGTCACAAACTCTGGCTAAAGTTAGTGTTCATATTTGCTTTTTTGCATTTTTCACACACAAACTGCACTTTCACTGATGATATCATTATCGTGATGCATTTTAAATATACAAGTCGAATTTTTTGAATTAAAAAATATATATATGTTTGTAAATGTGGGAGCTGAAATGTTGACTTTTTAAAATGGATTGAATAAAAGTTAAATTTTATTTGAAAATCTCTATAAAGTCCTTGGAGTGTGGTCATTTCTGCTATGTCTACATGATCCTTGCCAGACCAGCACCGGGCACCACAGGATTACACCAGGAGTGCAAGCCCTCGCACACCTGTTTGCATGCCCAAAACAGTTCCACAGATTCAGGCTGTGCGGTCGGTCTATTTCTGCCTTGAAAAAGAACAAAGTCCCATCCGAAGGCGGCGTTCGAATAGTCGAACGCACTTCGACTTCTCTCGAAGTCTCAAAGTGAAAACGGTGGTCGTTAGTTAAGTGGCAGTCTATTTTACACAAAAAAGATGACAAAGTCCCATTCGAACGTGCGTCTCCAGCCGCAGTGTCGAAGGTTAGGGGAAGGTACAGATCAGCGGTGTTCGTTCAAATGTGTGGCCGATTTCCGTTCCAGGGATTTGACGGCAAACACCGCTGACCGTGTTCAACTGAATTAAAATGGCCGCCACCACGTGTTCAATTGTCTAATGGCGGCCACTTCGACTACTTCGGCACTTCGGCTGTATCCGAAGTGCCATATCAAAGTACCAATCCTTTGCACAGAACAGTTAAAGGGCCAGAAACAGTCTTTGTTCTTAGTACAGGGCAATGTGGATGATGGCAGGAAAACAAAAGGTAGAGATTCCCAGGCAACATGGTAGGAAGTTGTTACAACATATATTACAGATCCAACGAAAAACAGGGGGATCTGTTACATATATATATATACACTGCTCAAAAAAAATAAAGGAAACACTTAAACAACACAATGTAACTCCAAGTCAATCACACTTCTGTGAAATCAAACTGTCCACTTAGGAAGCAACACTGAGTGACAATCAATTTCACGTGCTATTGTGCAAATGGCATAGACAACAGGTGGAAATTATAGGCAATTAGCAAGACACCCCCAATAAAGGAGTGGTTCTGCAGGTGGTGACCACAGACCACTTCTCAGTTCCTATGCTTCCTGGCTGATGTTTTGGTCACTTTTGAATGCTGGTGGTGCTTTCACTCTAGTGGTAGCATGAGACGGAGTCTACAACCCACACAAGTGGCTCAGGTAGTGCAGCTCATCCAGGATGGCAGATCAATGCGAGCTGTGGCTAGAAGGCTTGCTGTGTCTGTCAGCGTAGTGTCCAGAGCATGAAGGCGCTACCAGGAGACAGGCCAGTACATCAGGAGACGTGGAGGAGGCCGTAGGAGGGCAACAACCCAGCAGCAGGACCCCTACCTCTGCCTTTGTGCATGGAGGAACAGGAGGAGCACTGCCAGAGCCCTGCAAAATGACCTCCAGCAGGCCACAAATGTGCATGTGTCTGCTTAAATGGTCAAAAACAGACTCCATGAGGGTGGTATGAGGGCTCAATGTCCACAGGTGGGGGTTGTGCTTACAGCCCAACGTCGTGCAGGATGTTTGGCATTTACCAGAGAACACGAAGATTGCCAAATTCGCCACTGGCGCCCTGTGCTCTTCACAGATGAAAGCAGGTTCACACTGAGCACATGTGACAGACGTGACAGAGTCTGGAGACACCGTGGAGAACGTTCTGCTGCCTGCAACATCCTCCAGCATGACTGGTTTGGCAGTGGATCAGTAATGGTGTGGGGTGGCATTTCTTTGGGGGGCCGCACAGCCCTCCATGTGCTCGCCAGAGGTAGCCTGACTGCCATTAGGTACCGAGATGAGATCCTCGGACCCCTTGTGAGACCATATGCTGGTGCGGTTGGCCCTGGGTTTCTCCTAATGCAAGACAATGCTAGACCTCATGTGGCTGCAGTGTGTTAGCAATTCCTGCAAGATGAAGGCATTGATGCTATGGACTGGCCCGCCCGTCCCCAGACCTGAATCCAATTGAGCACATCTGGGACATCATGTCTTGCTCCATCCACCAACGTCACGTTGCACCACAGACTGTCCAGGAATTGGCAGATGCTTTAGTCTAGGTCTGGGAGGAGATCCTTCAGGAGACCATCCGCCACCTCATCAGGAGCATGCACAGGCATTGTAGGGAGGTCATACAGGCACGCGGAGGCCACACACACTAATGAGCCTCATTTTGACTTGTTTTAAGGACATTACATTAAAGTTGGATCAGCCTGTAGTGTGTGTTATCACTTTAATTTTAAGTGTGACTCCAAATCCAGACCTCCATGGGTTGAAAATTTTGATTTCAAATTTTTTATTTTTGTGTGATTTTGTAAAGAACAAAGTATTTCAGAAGAATATTTAATTCATTCAGATCTAGGATGTGTTATTTTTGTGTTCCCTTTATTTTTTTGAGCAGTATATATATATATATATATATAAAAATATATATATATTGTATAAGTAGAGATTGTAGCCGTATTAGTCTAGAGATGTAGATGTAAAAAACAGATAACATTTGTATCTTGTAATACCTTTTTTATTGGAGGTTCTCCCGAAATCTTGTCATTAAAAAATGCAGTTAGTCCAATAAAAAAGGTATTACAAGATACGAATTATATATATATATATATATATATATATATATATATATATACACACACATATATACATATTTGGGGATAGTGGGGGCTGGGGTTATATGAACTGCATCACATTTGACTAGAAAAATGTTCTACCCAGTCACAGTTCTGTCTATTAAATTGCAGTGCAAGCATCTTTAATTTCTTTCACTTTTATTCACCAAGTGCAACTCAAATAAGAAAAAGAAAGTAAGCAAGCAACTAAATTACGTGTTAAAAAATCTTAAAGTTATTTCTGAGCTAATTTTAAACTATCAATAAGGCCATGAGGCTTGCTAATTGTTGTTTGGTTTTCTAGTTATGTTGATTAAATACAAAGTTCTTTGTTTTAATGGCTGCCTTTTGTTATAAGCATTATTGGATTTATTTTATTGCACATTAACATAAGCATATTTGTAAAAAGAAAAATACCACTCAATGAAGTGAATAATCCACAAGCTACAATAAAATCACATTTAGCTAATAACCAGTTATGTATATAAAATCCAAAACTAAAATGAAGTCTAAATATAAATAAGTCGCAAAACTTCTGTTAAGTCCAGATACAAATTATCACTCCAAAATATGTTGCATAAGGGTGAATACACTCTCACTATGTGTATAGACAACATAAAGTAGTGTGACCTTGATAACAATATAATAATTGCAGTTTTTGGCGTTTTTTTTGTTATGTTTTTCTATTTGTACGCCTAAACATCAGAAGATTTCTTTTATAGCAAGCAGTTTTACTATCTTGCTTTATACTGACTGTATACATTTATATTTACTGTGTTTTCTAGTAAATTGTATAATATTGACATCAGGGTCATGCTACTTTGTGTTGTCTATACACATAGTTAGAGTGTATTCACTCTTATGCAACATATTTTGGACTGATAATTTGTATCCGGACTTTACATAAGTTTTGTGCCATATTGTGGACTTATTTATATTTAGACTTCATTTTAGTTTGGGATTTTATATATATCACTGGTTTTTAGATATATGTGAGTTTATTGTAGCTCCTAGATTATTCACTTCATTAAGTGGTATTTTTCTTTTTATATATATTTAGAGGATTTGGTGACCATCATTCCATTTCAAGAGCTATTTCTCTCACTATATTTTATCTTTCTTTTTTTGTCTTTTCCTACTCACTCTTACTGTGTAGCTTGAAACACTTTTATCTGTGTTCTGTGCTATATTTTCACTGTAAATATATATGTATTTATTATTAGGGAAAGTCATGTCAGGGGAATGACACCACCATAACATTGAGCAGTTTAACTTGGGGTGTACTTTGGACACTATTAGTGCCAG